ATGTCACATGGGAAATGAGTCACTGATAGATTGCGATTAGAGTCTATCAACTATTGGAAGCTATGGAAGGCCCTATAAGCCACAATTGGAAGAAGCTATGAGAATTGAAATTCAGTCCATGAATGTTGTAAATTTTAATTGATCCAATACTTGGTGTTAAAACCATACAGTGTTTGTAGATCTTTAAAAAATGACAAGCATGGATAGCAAACACATGTATACTTAAAACAAGATGGGTTGTGATAAATATGTAGGCTTGAGAAGTCCATTGAAGGATTCTAACAAGCATCTCATGTTTGGATCATTTGCTTCGATGGGAAATTCAAAAGTTGAATTACGAGAAACAAAAGATAGTCCATATAAATGTCAAAGCTAGTGGGAACGATGTTATCCTTTGTATTGAAATAGGAAATGATGTCCTAACTTTGCTAAGTGTAAAAGCTTTACATAGCCTAGGAATTATCCCGCTATGAAACACATGGGAGGAACAAGAAAACATGCTTAGAGTCTATGGAGATAGATCTAAGTTATTCATTGAATTAACCCAGAGTACTTGGAATCTTGAGGAAACTCCAGATGCATAATTCTTAAAGAGTTTGTGCTAGCAAAAGTAATGACTCATATGCCTTGTGCATGATAAGTCATATAAGATCATTTTGGCTATAATCAACTAATCAAGGATCAAGAATATTCCTTGGAGTCCTAAAGGCTAAAAGGATGAAAAAGATAATATTATTAGTCTAGAAGAACTCAATGAAGGAATTACATTGATGGTCAGTTCCTCACTAATAGAGACGTTTTTGTTTAGCAATCGAAGTTCGTGCTATTAATAAATAATAAAGTATTAGCTTAAAAGAGTGCCAGGTAATGCACTTAAGTGGATTTTGATAATAAGCTTAGAGTATATTGCAGTTAGTTAGATTGCAAAGACAAACTACGTGAGTAAAGAAATTCATCAGTAATCCCAGTGTTGTATTCAATCATTGATGGTTCTCTTGAAGTTTCTTGTGACTGTAAGGTGAATTTACATCTTTTATAGATCCCAAGTCACATAAGATCACATGGTAAATACTTAGTAAGTATCTTCACGATTGTAAGGACATCATAGTCAACTAAGGAGAATATTGTTGATTCATTCCTTTAAACTAAAGCTCTAATCAAGATCAATAGTCACATACAGATCTGATGTTATTAGGGTTACATGTGTATTAACTTGAGCACTGTATTTTAGCTTGTTTTAATTTAGAAATTGATGCAGTTGTGGTCTCTATTTGATTTGGCGATTATTAAGTGGAGAACTTAATACTTGATGGAGATTGGTCATTTCATTTAGGATATCATTGTGTTCCACTTTTTCATGTTTAAAACCACTTCCATAATAATATATTATTCAAAATTCCATAATCAGTCCTACTCTTGGAAGATAGTAGTGAATTAAGATTGTCATAGTGTTGGTAGATTGTTCATGTTGGATTAGGTGTCTAAGCCCATAACTATTTTGGTATGTACTTGACCCGATTACGAGCATGGTCCTTTTGGGTTGCCTTCACCATAACAACTGATAGGATGAACTAAGGAGAAAGAGGATTAATTATTATTTATTAATATATTATATGAATAATATATTAAAAGAGAAAGCATATTGTTTAATTAATATTAGTCAAGAATTAATAAGAATTAATTTTGTGGCTAAAAGAGATTAATTAAATAAAGGGGACTGATATTGTAATTATAAGATAATTGCATAAATTGGGCTAATGGACTCCATAGAAGTTGGAGTGGACGAAATCTATGGGGAAACCCATTAGAATTCGTCCAAGGCCTCTAAGGAGGGAGTCCATGGGCTGCTTAGGGCCTAAGCAGTCAGATTAGGGTTTCCTGGTTGAAAACCCTAATAGCCTAACTATATAAGGAACCCCTAAGGCCCCAAAAACATGTGGAAGTAATCCCTAAGGGTTCTTAGACGTTTTTGTGCCTCCTCCTCCTTCTCCTAAGTCATCCTGTTGCTCATGGTGTTTGTGACTCCATTAGAGGTGCAACATTTAAGGCACTAAGCTTTCAGAAGTCAAGATCAAAAAGGTTTTGAGATTGTTATTGCTATATAACAATCAAGGTAAGATCTAAACCCTATTATTATGATAATATCGATTATTATATGCTAGATATAGGGTTTATGAGCTTTGGATGATTATTGCATGTTCATCAGACAAACTAGATCCAAAGCTTTAGGGTTTGCATGTACACCATATGATTGATGTAGTGCTCAAAACCCATCAGTTCATAGAGATGAACATAACTAAGTCTTGCAACCAATACTGATGAGTACTTGAAAATGGAACTTTTAAGTATTGGAGTAACCACGCTTAAAGACTACCTCATGGATCATGTCATGAGTAAATTAAGACGACTATACTTCTTATTTTTTAAAATGGAGATGCATGAGGTTTTGTTCTACAATTTACCGTATCTTGTTTTTCTCCAACGTTGTCCGTAATCGGAAGCTATACATGGTTTGATTATATATTGCATGAGGAATAGTATTTGCCTATGAAGTCAAAGTTTATTTGGTTCTTCTGCCAAAAATGGAGAAGTAGATATCTCTGGGTCCCTTGATGATTTGGCGATGACGTCTAAAGCGCTTGGCCGTGCCGTGACTAAAATTGATGTGTTCAATTTAACAGTTAGATGCAGCTTTCACAAATCTATGTCGGTAAACATAATATTGAATTCTTAGAATGTCTATTCTCCATGTCTTAGATTCATACAAATATCATGAAGATCAAAGGAATTTGAAGTCACTAGTCTTAGGAATGTTTATAGCATTGTTGCGATAAGTACAGTAGTTGTGTTGGACTGCTACTCATTGTTGTTCCTAGTAAGTATTGGACCGATCGATTGTTGATGCCTAAGTGCAAGTGAGAGATGATGGAGAATAGTCCCCATAGCCATAACAAACCGGTAATATTACTATAAATAACAGTGTCCTTTTGGGTTACAACATAACTGAAAAGATATTTATATGAATGACTTATTTTGTTAACTAATTAATAGTTTAATTAATTAATTGTAGTGTTATGAGCATTTGATTTGACATGCGGAATTGTAAAGAATACAATGAACATGATGATTTGGGTGTCTAAGAGATGTATTTGATTATGAAAGATGTTACAAAAAAGTATAAGCTAGATCTAGACAAATAAATAGCTCACACTAACACTCTCAATGTTACGTCTCCCAAACACACTCTAATAGTTGCATAAACAATAATAAAAATAAAACAGAAAAGACAAATTTTCTTTTAATTAGAAAAATATTTAAATAAATAAAAAAAAAAACTGAAAAAGAAAAAGGTAAGGGCAAAATCGTCAATATGAAAAATGTCATAACAAATTGGACCAAACTTACAACAAAATGAAAAATTTGGATTTCTGATGTTAGTCCAAACTTTTTTGGACCAAACTTACGAATTTTGACATAACACAAGAACCATTCTTGCAATTTTGTCTTTAATATACCAAAATACCAGTTTTAAACCATGCCTTTTAAAAAACTTAAAAGATTTTTATATAATATCCCATGATTCATATTTTCTTTGTAACTTAAACAAACATTCAAAATGTTTTAATATTCAAAGTACAAGTAATGATATTATCCGTATCGTCAGATATTTAAATACTAGATCATCATCATCAAGAAAATACGATTTTCATCATAAAAAATGTATCATCTTTTTATTTAATAAGTTTCCAATACAAATTTATCTATTTTCTAGTTAACAACTTAACATTAATTGCATGATGTTATAAGAATGATATTAGTTCATAACTTTATAATTGCAAGATATTTGTTGTTTAACAACTTAATATTAATTTCAATCGCTTTATAACATGTTTAAACATTAGTCAAATATGGGCATTAAAAGAATATTTATTGGTGATTGGTGAAATTATATATGATTCGGGTCGGATCCTCTTTATCAAAACCCCCCCAAAATCTACCCGTTCCAACGTCTTTGCCCTATAAAACCTAATTCAGGGCTCTCCCCAGTTCATCAGATTCACAGACAGAATTTCAGTCTGGATTCCCAAATACACATTTCTTTCTCCCTCACTACTATTATTGATCTACGGACTTTGAATCAGCAATTTCGTACGTACAACAGGTGCGTATATCTTTCCATAATCATATATAGAATTTGTGTATTACTTAGTTGATTAATCAACTTGACATTCACAAGAATTGTGCTTTAATCACTTAATCCTTCATCGATTACGCCTCCCCCTCGCTAAGATGATTTGGTTTTTAGAACTCAGATCTAAATATTTTTAATTGTTTCTGTCTCTGTTCCAATTTTAGGTTTTTCTTTTATGGCGGGGGTACAACTGAAATGAATTTACCCTATTTATTAGAAGTAGGTGCTATCATTATTGTCTTTATGCATCTAATTCAATTGTTCAATAATGTGATAATTTAGTGTGCTAGGGTTGTTTACGCTGTGCTATGCATATACTGTGTACTCCAAATGAATGTGATAGGGGCATAGGGCTTAGGAGTTCAAACTTGTTTTGATTTGGGGTTTTATAAATCAAGCTAGGTATTGATTTCACTTATATAAATTTGTTCATATGGTCGTCCGTCTAGGGTTATGGCATTTACAATGCTCTATTGTTAATAAAATTTTATGGTACTTTTATTACTGTCATGCTGTTGTATGCGTCTGTATTACTGTTTGAGGGTGTAAAGTTTTATAGTACTCTGCTTGCAGAGTTTTTGATTTATGAGTACACACATCTAGTGCACTTCTCATAGTATGATGTACATCTGTACATGCCTCGTATTCTTGCATAAATTTATGTTTTCCTTACCTTAATCTCATTGAAGGTTCTTTTTTTCCTTTAATTTGCTTGCAGAACCTATTTTGTTTGCGTTTATTTGAAAGATTCAAAGGTTTGAGGTGTTTTTCCATTAGTGAAAGGTGGATCTGTTTGTGTATATGAGAAATGGGTTCTAGAGAAAAGCCATTGTTTGATCTTAATGAACCTGCTGTTGAGGATGAGAGTGACACAGTCCCCTCTACTATCAACACTTGTAAATTATCAACATCAGCATCAAGTAGTTCTCATAAAACAGTAAATACCCGTGCTTTTTCTCATGTTTCCTCTGTTTCGAGCTTTCAGCCTTTCATTCAATCAAAAAGAGAACAACCATCTGAAGTAGGTGAAGACCATAAGAGGGAAGCTGCTAAAAAAAACATTTTAGAAAAGGAAGAAGGTGAATGGTCTGATGTAGAAGACTCCTCCATTAAAACCAACAGAACAAGTAGTATCCCTGAAATGTCAACTTCTGGCTATGATGATAAATCACAAACAAAAGCAACTACTGAATCTGAATCCACAGATCAAAATGATTGTAATCTAACTACAGCATCATCAATCACATCTTCCAAGAATGAAAATAACAACCATACTTCAAAGCTTCCAATTCCAACTAACCCTGGAAAACGCCCTAAACTTGATCAACAAAAGGAAGCAATGCTAGGTAAAAAGCGTAGTAGACAAACCATGTTTCTAAACATGGAAGATGTTAAACAAGCGGGACCCATTAAAATCTTGACCCCAAAAAAACACAACTTTCAACCACCCATTGTAACACGTATTGTGAAAGAGTCACGCCCTCTTCTTGACTCAATTAAAGAAGCAAAACAGATTGATCAATCATGCAATGAGGGTAATAACAATCATGTGGAGTCTAGTGATACAAAATCTGATTGTAATGAAACTGATTTGAGTTCAGGACCTGTAACTCGTTCTAGAAGAACAAATAGTGGGACAGATCTTGCTGGAGAAGATAAAGATAAATTATTTTCAGATCATATTCATAGACAGAGTTCATTTAAGCAACCTAGTGATTCAAGACAGATGAAGAATCCACATATTCCTATAAAAAAGCCTCCATTAATCACTCAAAACGATTCCAAATCAGTAGTTAAAAAGCTTCCTTCAAGAAAACCAACAACTGTCACTACACTTTATCAGGATACATCAGTGGAGCGTCTTCTAAGGGAGGTGACTAATGACAAGTTCTGGCAGCATCCAGGTGTGTTTTTTTTCTTTCTTTTAACCACTTTTTACCTTATGTAAAAGTTACGGATTTGGTCCTTGACTTTATTTTTTTTTATCTTTGGAGTCCCTTAAAGAAATTATTTGTACCCTTTTTTTGTCCCTTACAGAACTATTTACAACTTGTTCATTTTGCTAATGATTCTGTAGTGAATCTTACAATACGATTTGCCATTCAGGATTGATAAAATACAATTCACAATATAAAAAAAAATGTGGTTGTATTAGTTATTGAATGAATGGTAATGTTTGTATTGCCCAGGCCCACGCATAGCAAAAGGGGATCCCTGCAGCTTCATGTGGTTGGGCGTTCACTTTTCACCAGAGCCTCTTCAATGGAAGAAATAAAAAAAAATCATACTTTTTATAATTAGTAGTAATGTATTATAACAATTAGATTCCCATTTTGTTTGTGGACATATTCTTTATTCATTTTACATGAACACAAAAATCTCAAAATCTTTTTGGACATTCAGAGGATGCGGATCTACAACGGGTCCCAGGAAGCTTTGAATCAGTAGAAGAATATATTCGAGTTTTTGAGCCTTTACTCTTTGAAGAATGTCGTGCACAACTCTACAGCACATGGGAAGAATCAACTGAAACTTCATCTAGAGATTCACATACAATGGTTCGCATTAAAAATGTCGAAAGGCGAGAAAGAGGTAATTATTTTCATTTCATTATATATAAATAATTAAATAATAACAATTTATAAGTTTATATTAATTTTATGTGATGTTACAGGATGGTATGATGTTATTCTCCTACCAACAAACGAATGCAGATGGAATTTCAAAGAGGGCGATGTTGCAGTTCTTTCAACTCCAAAACCCGGAACAGGTTTGCTTAAATTCATTAATCTATAAAAATAAAAAATTATTTCACAAACCTACTTAATAAAAAAAATAAAAACCCATTTTTTTAAGCAGTTAGAATGAAGAGAAACAACATTCCAACAAATGTGGAAGAGTCCGAGGTTATCGGACGTGTAGCTGGCACTGTCAGGCGTCATATACCAATAGACACTCGCGACCCCACTGGGGCCACCCTTCATTTTTACGTTGGCGATTCTTTCGATTCCAACAGGTTTTCCTTTTTTTTATTTATTATTTTTTTAATTCATATTTTTAAAAAGTACTTTACAGTTTACTCATAATTTTTTTTTTTAAATTACAGTGACGATGACCATATATTAAAAAAACTACACCCTAAAGGCGTCTGGTTTTTAACCATTCTAGGTGCTCTTGCTACAACCCAAAGAGAATATATCGCGTTGCATGCTTTTCGTAGGCTAAATTCACAGGTGTGTTTTCCTTAAATATATATATATTTTGTCATTTTTTATATTTTATACAAACTCATGAATTGTGATTGATTTTTTGATACAGATGCAAACTGCGATACTTCAACCAAGCCCGGAGCAATTCCCAAAATATGAAGAACAAGCACCATCAATGCCCGAGTGTTTCACAACAAACTTTGTTGACTATCTTCATCACACATTCAACCAGCCTCAATTATCAGCAATCCATTGGGCAGCAATGCACACAGCAGCAGGAACAACAAACACTTCAACAAAAAGACAAGACCCATGGCCCTTCACCCTAGTCCAGGGCCCACCAGGAACCGGTAAAACCCACACCGTGTGGGGCATGCTAAACGTCATCCACCTCGTCCAATACCAACACTACTACACCGCCCTCCTAAAAAAACTTGCCCCCGAAAGCTACAAACAAGCCACCGAATCTTTATCTTCCGAAAACGCCCCTACCGGATCCATCGACCAAGTCCTTCAAAACATGGACCAAAACCTATTTCGGACACTTCACAAAATCTGCCCTAAACCACGCATGTTAGTCTGCGCCCCTTCCAACGCCGCAACCGATGAGCTTCTGACACGTGTCCTCGAACGTGGCTTCATCGACGGCGAAATGAAAATGTATCGCCCCGACGTGGCCCGCGTCGGGGTAGATTCAAATACACGTGCGGCGCAGGCGGTTTCCGTGGAACGTCGGACCGAACAACTTCTAATGAAAAGTAGAGATGAAGTCTACGGTTGGATCAACCAATTGCGGGTCCGCGAAGCGCAGTTGTCTCAACAAATCGCGTCGTTGCAACGCCAATTGAATCTCCAAGCGTACACGGGTCGGGCCGAAGGATCCGTGGGCGTCGACCCGGATATTTTAACCGCCCGTGACCAAACCCGCGATTCGTTTTTACAAAACCTCGCCGCGGTTGTCGAAAACCGCGATAAAGTTTTGGTTGAAATGTCGCGGTTGTTGATTCTCGAACCGCGGTTTCATTCCGGAAACTTTAATCTCGAAGAAGCGCGTGCCAGCCTGGAAGCGAGTTTCGCCAACGAGGCGGAGATTGTGTTCACAACGGTTTCAAGTAGTGGGAGGAAACTATTCTCTAGGTTGACGCACGGGTTTGATATGGTGGTGATTGATGAGGCGGCTCAGGCGAGTGAAGTCGGGGTGTTGCCGCCGCTTTCGCTCGGTGCCGCTAGGTGTGTTCTCGTCGGAGACCCGCAGCAGCTTCCGGCGACGGTGATAAGTAAGGCGGCGGGGACGTTGTTGTATTCGCGGAGTCTTTTCGAGCGGTTTCAACAAGCGGGGTGTCCGACGATTCTCTTGTCGGTTCAATACCGTATGCATCCGCAAATACGCGATTTCCCATCGCGGTATTTTTACCAAGGGCGGTTGACCGATAGCGAAAGTGTAAAAAGTCAACCGGATGAAAATTACTATAATGACCCTTTGTTGAGGCCGTATGTGTTTTACGATGTTACCCATGGGCGGGAATCGCATAGGGGAGGGTCGGTTTCGTATCAGAATGTTCATGAGGCGAAGTTTTGCGTGAGGTTGTATGAGCGGTTGATGAAGGTGGTTGGTGGTGGGGGTGTAGGGAAGGTTACGGTGGGGGTGATTACGCCATATAAGTTGCAGTTGAAGTGTATACAAAGGGAGTTTGAGGAGGTGTTGAGGAGTGATGAAGGGAAGGATATTTATATAAATACGGTTGATGCATTTCAAGGGCAAGAACGCGATGTTATTATTATGTCGTGTGTGAGAGCTTCGAGTTATGGTGTTGGATTTGTTGCGGATATTAGAAGGATGAATGTCGCTCTTACTCGCGCCAAAAGGGCACTTTGGGTATAAATTTTATTTCTTCCTTTTTGGAATTAAACATTTTTTTTCTTCGAATAAATAAATAATCTAATTTGTTTTTTTTTAGGTGATGGGGAATGCGAGTGCTCTTGTTCAATCAGAAGATTGGGCAGCTTTAATTGCGGATGCAAAGGCGAGAAAGTGTTACATGGACATGGACTCGCTTCCGAAAGACTTCCTGGCGGCACCACCACTACCACCACCGCCACCGGCCTATGGTCCACCGCCACCTAAGTTTTCTAATTCGAGAGGCTTCATGAGGCCTAATTTCAGAAACAGACCATATGAGCATATGGGAACACCATCAGGAGATGAAAGTAAAACAAATTCAAACTCAAACTCAAATTCATCAAGAAATGGTAGTAGTTATCGGCCTTTTAATAAACCACCATTGGAGGACAACCATGATTGGTCTCGAGATTCATGGCAGCAATATGGGGCCCAAAAGAGACCGAATCAAGCTGGGGTATTGGGAAAAAGAGACCAATGATATGATGTTTGTCCAAGATTTGTTTTCAGATACTTACTGTGGGACCCAACCCAAAACCCTAAACCCAAAATTGTCACTGTACAAAGATATTGTCTAGCGGGAGGTTCTTTGGTTACAAGGAAAGGTAAAAAAATATATATATACCTTGAAATTGCTTAAAAGGGCAAAAACGTCAATTTGACATAGGTGTATCTGATTTGGCGACACTTGATCCACCACGGGGCGTCATGGTTGGAAAAATTGCGTTAGTTGCAAGATTTTGAAAGGGGACACGTTTTTATGTTTTGATGGGATGGGGCATTTGATGGTAGTTTTTTTGTTTATTTATTTATTTTTCTTTTGGAGTTTTATAGAAAATACAAAAGATGTAGTTGAATTAACATCTTGGGGAATTGTGGTATAAAAAGATTTTGTATAGAAATGGTGGTGTTGATCTTGATCAATTGTAAGTTATTTACAAACTTGTTTTTATTTCATTGGTTTAGTTACATATATGAATTATAACAGGAACGAAAAATTAAAAGAGCGGAACAAACAAGTTCATGAAATGAGTTATTTTATATTTGTTTGTCATATTTGGTCGGTTTGGAAGAATTGAAAAATATTATGAATTGTTAAATATATTCTATATAAACATATTTTTATCTGGTTATAAAAATGTTTATTTCTAATAGTCAAAAATATTTCTTTATCATTTGGACGGTTGTTTATAAATATAAAAATTAATATACCATTAAATTTTAAAAAATGGATACATTTAGTTATATTTAGAAAATAGAATAATGATTTAATTTAAGTTTTAAAAAAAATTAATGTTTATGAATATTATATAGATAAAAGTATTTTATGATTATAATATATTATTTCATTTCATCTAAAAAAACATATCTTTCTCATGTAATGAAAATTAATTTTGGAGAAGGAATCAAACATTTCATGATGTTTAAAAAATAAAAAATCCCCTCCCGTACTGTTTAGTTTAATCTTTTTTTCGATTATGGGTTTTGATTAAATGTTATAATTTCTATATAAAAGGGCTTAGATGTCAGTTGGTTGGAATCAAATACATATTTTGAAAAAAGGTTCATTATATATATATATATATATATATATATATATATATATATATATATATATATATATTAAAATTCTCGCTACAGTAAAGTTTCTAAAAAGTTGGAGGTTGAGTCCCCTATTTATGTATATGTGTTAAAAAAACCTCCGTTTTCTGCTTTGGGTCTTTTTTGTCATTGTCTGCATTCTTGCCGTACGCGTGTTGTTTGTGCTTTGCTTCACCGTTTTCTCAGCCAATGATATTCCGATTTCTGTAAAGCACCGCCAATGATCCCACTGTCACCGCCTTATCAATACAGGTTCTCCTTCGGTTGAATTTTTCTCCCAAATCCGAAATCGCTAACTGCCTTCTTGTGCTCACCGCCGCTTCCTACATTCATATGTGTTCTGTTCATATTCTTCTTCATCTCACGAATTCTTTCCATCTGATCCATCTTTCTCCGGTGAGATCGTCGACCCTCACTACGGCGATTGCCCAGCGCCGCCATACCCACTATTCTCTCCATTTGTGCTACCGACAACAACCCACCATTGAAGACCGACTGCTGCTTCTCATTACATACTCAAATGTCTTTCTATTTTCGATTCAAGGATTCCACCTCCTTCACATGCCTCCGCTCATCCGCCCGATTATCACACATATTACCCCCTTCACAATCCCAGAGGCAGAATGAAATCGACGTTGAGAAGACGGCAAAGACGATGAATACGACAACTGTGTCGCTGCTTAGTGTTGCCTCCATCATCACCGTTCATCGCTACAACCGCCACCAGACCCCCTGCCCTTCCGTTCCTGTTTAGCTGTCGGATGCAAACAGAATAGTGGTCTTCAGTGGCTTCAAATTGGCTAGCCATCCTTCTCTTCTAATCACTATTCTCCCCCGTTCTCCACCACCTTCTCCTCCAAATAGATGTTTTCCAGGCTACTATACATACATGTCGATTATAAAGATTCAAGATGCGTCGTACTCCAACAAAGAAAGGCCCGTCTAATTCAACGTCATCGCCAAATTCGTCAGCCGGTTTTCCTTCACTTCTCTGTTTCAAATTGAAATTCACATTAATTTTTTGTGATTTAGATCGATTGAAGTGAGTTTCAGACGCATGCTGTTGTTATTTTATTGAAAAGATTCGTATCATAGCATGCATGAAATGATTTTAGAAATGTGCATTGGTTATTGATCAACAATTCTGTGTTTGATTTTAGCGATTTTGTTTTATGACATGATTGTGCTATGTATGGTGCTCAGTTGTAAGTAGGCCATGGTGGTTGTTTTGATTTTCATTTTGTGTTTTTGTGATTTTTGTTTCAATTTGCTGATATTTACCTTATAGATGAGTGAAGTGCATACTTGAAGGAACATCTCTTGAAGGCCCAATTCCCAGTAGTTATGCAGCTTTGACACAACTAGAAAATTTGTAAGATCATTTAGCAATTTTATAAAATTTAGAAATAATTGGAGGTTTAATCTGGATTATATGTTAATTGATTTAATCTATTTGTTCATTTATGTTGTTTTTTTTATAGGACAGTTGGAGATCTAGATGGTGACTATTCAACAGATGCATTAAAACCTCAAATCACTTCCTCAGATGCACATGCACATACACACAGTGATACTGATAAAAGTAGCCAACATATTCAAGCATCGCCATTAATATATTAAGATAACTTTTTTTACCATAAATTTATGAAATTTAATATATTTATGTTTTTCCGTGTTGATCAGAAGTTGTTGTTGTAGATGATCAGATGTGATCTACTCAGATCAAATTTAAAGTTGAATTTGATGTTATCTAAAGCTGAAGATGATAAGATTTGAAAGATTAAGCTGATCAGCTATAAGTTACTATTCAAGCTTATCAGAAGCTGCTGTCCTAGGTGATCAGTTCTGATCTGGCCGAGTTCATCAGATTTGAAGCTGATTGTTGTATATGAAGTTATCCGAATCTAAAATTAATCAGCTTTGGAAGATTAATGTAAAGGATTTGTTGTTAACCAGGTACTCTTTTCTGTCTTTTTTATTATCCAATTTTAAAATAAATTACAAAAGTTTTCCTTTTTTTACTGTTTTTGATCATGTTCCAAGTGAAATGGCTATATTACCCTTTTCTGATTTTTATTGTTTATAAATCAAACGGTAATATTGTCAATTGCTTAAAACATGAACAAAAAACTGAAAGACATTAGTCTAGACCTGAGTTCCGTTCCAATTCACAAAAAAACACGCTACAATCTTGTGTGCCAATTAAAGGGGATACTCACAACTTCACAATCTTCTTAAGTCTTGGATTCACAGGTTGTCTCCCTTTTATATCATAAAAGGGAAAACGAAAAAAAAAAAAATCCTTTCTTAAAATAATATTAAATTCTACCTAATTCCTTGTTTTATTTTATTTTTTCCCATGTAGATACTCACAGATTGATGACCGAGGCAATGGGGGAGAAAACATCAATAGCCAATCTTCACGAACACGGTATGCAGGATTTTTACATGCACGTATTAGCAACGAACTTTCATATTTTTTGTGACTGTATGTTTACTCAACTGTTGTTGTCGTTATAAAGTTGAGGTCAAAATATCAACGAGTTTAATAAAAGTGATGATAAAATGTTCAAATGAAAGAAAAATATATGGTTACTTAATAAACAATCGTTTACCAATAAAACAATAAATATAATAATGAAAACATCTTCATTTCCTTTTATTAAATAATATACGGTTTGTTACATTAAGTTATTTAGTTTTTAAGAAACTTTAATTTTTGTCAACATTCTTACTGATACAGTTTAGCAAATTGATTTGCAAGTTGGTGCAGTTCTTGAGGCTGATTCTGCTAATCCCAAATCACTTGGTGTTGAGTATCTATGATACTACAGTGAAGAAGGTAATATTCATTCAAGCCCATTATCAAAAAATTAACTCCACAAGAATGATCTCTCTCCACCAAGGGCAAAAAGGTCATTTTTTTTTTTTTCTGAATTGTGAAAATTAAAGTTTTATTTGTATTTATAGATAAGCCAAAAGGAGAAATATGATAGCACAAAAGCAAAGAGAGAGGTGTCATGCTTCAGAATATAAGTTACACAAATTTATTTGTTCTCACTACAGTTGTAACCAAAATAACATTTCACAACTGTTAACTAATAATTCACACAATGCAGTCAACACTCCCAGTACATAAGTTCATTTCAAACAAGTTCAGACAAATCTAAATGTCTGTATGAACTTTAAGCTCACAAGTTTTGGACTATCACTCATGATTAGGGTGAAGAGGAACGTTTCCTGTCCCCGAGCTTGATTATGATTAGGAAATAAGTTATGTTCTGAAAATGGCAAAGCCTAAGAAACATTAATATGTATAATTGTGTTTGTTTTTATGCATTTTTATATTAATGCAATTTTGTTTTTATAGAGTTATAATAGGTTAAAATGAAAGTATTTTCAGACAAGATATTGCTGAACTTCCAATAGTTGCTACAAATAAATGCAAACCAGGAGAAGGTGAGATGAGAAATAGCAATATACTTTGTATTTGAATAACGATAACTTTTGAGATAATTATTGCTGACGTGGCAATTAATTAATTTATATTTGATTGGCAGGGAGACTTCCATGTATTGTTTAGCTGAATTATGAGATTACTTTCGTCTTTGAATATAAAATAGATTGTGCTTCCAACTCCAGACGAAGCTAAATCTATATGAACCAAATTAGGCTTCGAAACAATAGAAACAGAAGTGGTACATTTTTTCATCTTAACTTATGAAAATCTATTATTTGGATAACTTTATAAAATATAATTACTTTCTTTTTTGTTAGGTTGGTGACCTAAGGCGAAGATGCTCGACTATCATGACATTCAAAGGCACACAAATTGGGAGAGGAGACAGAACAATAACCTGGAGAAGCCGAATATATTGCATTGTCCTAACCAAATTTAGCAGTGTACTTTTCATTCTTTTAGAACATGCAAACATGAAATATTGTATTCTCTATTTCATGTCGCAGTCTTTTGATAAAACTTCAAATTATCAGACACTAGTTATCTTTAATGCAATTTAGAATTTTTGCCGTACAATTTATTATTAATTTTTTAAGGACATTGTTATTTGTTTTAGTGTCATAGACTATTCACTTTAATTGAAATTAACATGTGTGTTAATGTAGAGTTAAACTGTGATCTAAAAAAGTTAGATTATGCGGTATGTTGAATACAAACCAAACTTGATCATGAAAACGTAATTTTGATTTTAAACCAGTCGTATGCCAGAAATATCAATACGGAAATTTGAACATCTTTGAGAAATCCATATTTATTGATTATCAAACCATATTTTCACACCTTTAATTCTGAACATGTTATACAATACAATACAATTTGTAAATTTGATTTTAAACCGCATCACCAACACCTCTATAACTTAATATATTGATCCATCTCACAGGAAACTCATAATGACTGATTGTCAAATCTTCAATTTATGATCTCAAACTTTTCATATTGATATGCAAAAACTTGGTTTGTTTCATAACTAATTATCTAATATCTGATAATTAATAAATGTGATTCTATTCTCACTCTGGCCTATATTCCTATGTAGTTCTCTACTTACATTCTTTTAAATGTCTTGTGAGTGATGATGTGATGTGAAGACGATATTATCTTAGTTATTAGACATAAGGTATATTTGACAAAACTAGCTAAAAGTTAGTAGTTGATAGCTAGTAGGTGGAAGCTGTATCCTTTATTTTGTGTAAACATGCTCGACAAAAATAGTTGAAAGCTTTTTGAAATGTGAAAAATAAAAACAAAAACTAAAATATCGTAAAAGATAAAAACTCTTATAATCTACTTTAAGTAGCTTTGGAATTAAGAGCATTTTGTTTAAAACAAAGAGTTTATTCCATAAAAGACCTTATATTTTGATCTTTTTCCATTTTAGACCTTTTTTAAAAGACTTAACTTTTACTTATTCTTTGTTATTTCAACTGTGGAACCGGTTAACAACAAGTAAATTGAGTTTATTCCATAAAAGACCTTATATTTTACATTTTTTTTCCATTTAGACCTAATCTTTGTTTTTCAAAATAATCCAAACTTTAACCTATTATTTGTTATTTCATTAATGAATTCGGTTACCGACAGGTTACCCTATACCCTCTAATTCACGTGCATCCTAAGCATCAATCACCTAAAAGAATAACTGATTCTAAAACCCTAGGTCATATTTCTGTTTTTTTTTCTTCTTGTACACCACATTGGGTCTCCTGAAATGGCTTTTTCTTCAAGTGTTAGAAACATAAACTTAGTTTAGAATGTTGAAATGAAACTTTGTTATAATGAGGAAGATTCCTTTGTTTATCTCCCTCCCCAAGTTTTTTTTTCACAATATTAAGTCCGTTTTCAAAGGTTATCCCAAGGCTATTTTTACAAGGTCTAATTGTATGCTTGTTTTAACATTGTATGGAGATAGTTTTCCAAATAAATTACTATTTTTACCTTTAAGCCCATTTTGTCTTAAGTATTTATCAACGTTTCATAAAGTGGCTAGATAGATTTATTTTCATGTTTTTTTCATTACATATCAATGTTTTACAATGAGAACTAAATTTAACCACAATTACCATGAGGCCTAAGAGACCACCAAAGATACTGTTAGCATCGGAAGACAAATCATGGATATTGGTTGTTCCCTATGCTTAAATGAATATGTTTAAGAGAATATGTTAATTAGACATTCCAATCCCTATCAGAGATCCCCTCGTAGTTCATGAGAAGCTAATATATGAGACCCTTAATCCATACAGTGCCAAAGAGATATTATTTCATGTTGGATGCTACAAAGGTAAAAAGTAGCTTATGTATGAGACCCTTCGTTAATACAGTGCCAAACAAATTTAGTACTCTTGTAAAACATTGATAAATACTTGAGACAAAATGGGTTTAAAGGTAAAAAATAGCAACTTACTTGGCAAAGTGTCTCAATACATTGTTAAAATAAACAGAACACCAAACCTTGCGAAAATAGCATTGACACAATATTTGAAAACATACTTTAATCTTATGAAACAGTCGTTATACGAGGTAAATAAAGGAGATTCATCCTCACAATATCATAATTCCATTTTAACTTTCCAAACTAAGTTTATGTTCCTGATGCTTGAAGAAGAAAACCATTTCAGGGCCAATGTGATGTACTAGAAGAATAAGTAGAAACATGACCTAGAGTTTTAAAATCACTTATTCTTTTAGGTGATCGATACTTAGGAAACATGTGAGTTAGGGGTATAGGGTTATCTATTGGTAACCGATACTATTAAATTATTAATGAAATAACAAGGAATATGTTAAAACTGAGTTTATTTTGAAAAAAAAAGAGTTTTAAGTCTAAAATGAAAAAAAAAAATACAAAATGTAAGATATTCTATGAAATAAACCCAATTTACCTTGTAACCGGTTTCATGGTTGAAATACCAAGTAATAGATAAAAATTGGTGTTTTTAAAAAAAATAAAAGTTTTGGATTTAAAACGGATTAAAAATCAAAATATAAAGTCTTTTATGGTATGAAATCGTAAAGTAAAAACTAAAAGCCCGTACCATCGCATAAAACTTTTATTTAATTCAATCTTTTTCTTAAAAGTTAGAAACTAAAAACACCTAAAAGTTTTTAAAATCTTGCTTCTGCTTTTAAAAAAACTAAAAAAATATATTTAACAGGACCCTTAATAAATTAATAAATTAATAGGTAGTAGGTAATAGCCATGGTTTCTTTAAACTTAAATGAAGGATAAAATCTTCAATTTAATTTTTATAAACATAGTCAAAGATTTGCTCCCTATTTATTGCAACTTACTCTATTTGTTAAGCTGACTACTAATCCTTTATCCTTATCTCCTCATTAGTCATTCCTCAAGGACCTCCACTCATGAATCACTGATTCCCTTTCCCATTAGTAGTTGGGATGGACCGATCACTAACCTGCTCCCATCTTTTTGTTTTTGTTCTTTCTTTTTTTCAAATTTAATATATAAATAATGTAACCATATTTCAATTCGTCCAACAAAATGGGATAAACAGAACCCCTTTTTTTAACAATGTAATATCAGTTAAATATTTATGTACGCAATAAAATGTCAGTTTTATGAATTTAAATGACAAATTGATATCTGACAAGAATGTTACAACCACATTTCATAAATTAAGTATTTACCGTTAGTTATATTGTTTTTTTATGAAAAATAATTTTACATAGTATTACAACTTTATATTTTGAAAAAAATTACTTTATTAATGTTAATTTTCACTCATTTATCTAAAAAATAGGTTGTTTGCCTATATCTTGTTCTTGTCCAAAGTGGTCAAAGGACTAATAAAAAAATTTGAAAAAATAAAATGAAAATGGGTTTATGCAGTTGTTTCACACTTTTAGAAATATATATACAATATAGTAATTTTTAAAATGAATTATATAATCATATTATATTCGCGTGAACATGTAAACAACACTTACATGTTTTGGTCATAGACTAAAACATGGTTGTGTATTTGGTAATTGGTTTATAAAAACGTTCTGTAACAACATAAACAATCATATATCTCTCAATATAATTAGAAAAACTATTACTAAAGTAATGATCCACTTCTTCCAACATCTTTAACATAAGAATCTACAATACACTAGAATGCTATTGTTGACAATCTTTTACTCGAACAACATCATGTCAAAACAAATTCCCCTTCTTATTTTTTTTATCAGATCTTTAACCAGGCTAATGTAATCCCTACACATAATACTTAACGTGTTAGCTACAACACCACATAGATTGATACACTGAACATGTTAATTAACTACAACAGTGCATATTTTGGTTATAGAATGAAACTTTATGTAACAATTATTTAGTTTTCTTGCAAAAATGTCATTGAAATAACGATTTGTTGTGGATACAAAGTTCCAATTGTTAAATTTTTTGATAATATCTCTTTTAAAAAGAATGATGTTTTGTGCAAAAACAAATAATTCATTACATATGTACGATATTAAAACAATTTGATAAACCAGATAAAAATTTCTTGTAATGAAAATTGATTATCAAGAACTTGCTATACAATATAACCATTACACACACAAAAGGCCAAGTTTCTCCATTGCATTTTATGAAATTGATTCGAATCATTAAAAAAACAACAAATTTATATGCAATTTTAGTTAATTAAAGAAAATTGCAGCACATTTGAAAATCGATTACTATAATAAGAAAACTTTGCTACTAAAAAATACCATAAATAAAAAGAAATTATTGATCAAAAGGGCCCAAAGATTTCTCATTTCTGACATTTCACAATAGACTATTTGGATGTATTGTTTATCTTTGTCGGATTCAACACCATTACGTGTTTCCAAATGTGTGGAAGTTTTCTACTTCTAAACTCATCAAATCATGATCATCACCCAATTGTTCTTCTTCAACCACTCCCACCACATTAGATCCTCCAATAATCCCCACGAAGAAACATATAATAACACTATAACACATCGATTTCTCCCTTTAATTGTTTTTAATTTGTTGGGTCTCCAGATCCCTGCAAACTTCCTGTTCATATCGTCTTCACAATCCCAGATTCCAGATCAACAAGGTAAACGCTTTTACCTTCGATTCAATTGTAATCGAGTCTGTATTTGATTGAGTTTACTGAAGTGGGTGTTCGCATTTGTGTAAAAATCTGTTGAATTGGTTTAATTTGGTGTTTGGAATTTTAACTGTAAATGACATGAATGAAGTTGACTTTTTGTATTTAATCTTATCTTGATTTCTGATCACCCCCAAATTTCTTCAATTTGAATTATCCGTAAATGTTTGATCGTTGATTGAAGTTTTGATAAAAAAATTGCAGGATCTCCAATCGAGCTATGAATCTGCAACCAAAGAAATCAAACTCAAATGTCGCGTTGACGCCAGAAGATGAACAGAAAAAGGTTCGTATTAAAAACTTCAGATTTGTTTAACATAATCAAAATTAACATTCACGTTTATTTTAATTTTCAGATCATTGAGGTCCGTGACACGATCAAGAAACAGAAATCACTCGAGAAGATCAAACAGCATCGTCAAGATGAGTTTTCTCATTTTTGTTCTGATGAATCAATATCAAGATATCTAAGAGCACGAAATTGGAACGTTAAAAAGGCTGTAAAAATGCTCGAAAGTTCCTTGATTTGGCGAATGAATTATAAACCCGAAGAGATTCGTTGGGTAAGTTTTCATAAAAAAAAAAAAAAAAAAAAATTCCACCTTTTTATACACCACATACTCACAGGACACATGTCACATTTAACAGGTCACAAGTCAGAATAAAAATTACAATAGTCACATGTCACACTAAAATCACAGTCACATGTCACATTAACAAAATAACAGGTCACAAGGCACAACAACAACCGTAAAAATCAAAAGTCACATGTTACAGTAAGCATTTGATTCGATTCAGGAACATGTTGCTGCCGAGGCTGAAACCGGGAAAATTTACAGGTCAAGTTTTACGGACAAAAAAGGGAGGGTAGTTCTTGTTATGAGGCCTAAATTCCAGGTAAAAAAAAAGATATATTTTAACTTTAGAGGTCAAATCATTACTTTTTAGAAACCTTGAGGTAATATAGTAAAAATGTTTTTTCTTTTGAAGTCGAGTTTTATTTTATTCTAAAGTGTTTATGTTTATACACGAACTTGTTTTGTTGACTTTTTAACCACAGAATTCGAAGTCAACAAAATCACAAATAAAGTATTTGGTGTATTGCATGGAGAATGCGATACAAAATTTGCCTTCGGATCAAGAACAAATGATTTGGTTAATCGATTTTCATGGATTTAATCTGTCAAACATATCAATAAACTCAACAAAGGAAACCGCAAATATCTTACAAAATCAATATCCAGAGAGGCTCGGGTTAGCAATTCTATATAATCCACCCAAATTCTTTGAACCCTTTTATAAGGTATGCATGCATAATTTATCATCTATTCTATTTCTACTACACCTCTTTTTGAATAAAACAAATGAAAAAGATACATAATAATACTTTCAAAATGTGGAATTGCAGATGGTAAAACCTTTCCTAGAGCCGAAGACAGCAAACAAAGTGAAATTCGTTTATGCAGATGATCCAAATACGAAGGGCATTATGGACAATTTGTTTTGCATGGATGAACTTGAGTCTGCATTTGGTGGAAAAGATGAAGAATATTTTGATATTAAGAAATATGCGGAGAAGATGATAGAAGATGATGCAAAGAGGATTGCCCTTCATGGTGGAGAAAAATGCTCCGATTCGGATTCCAATAGCAAGAAAGGAACGTCTTGAATGGAATTGGATTTGGTTTGACTTTCTGACTTGAATGGAATTGGATTTGGTTTGACTTTTTAATGGGTTAAGTATTTTTAGAGATTTTAGTTTTTTAGGTTTTTGACCTTTTCAAGAAAGAAGAAGAAAGTCTTGAAGAATCATGTTAAATCTATGCAATGCTTTTTATATGTGTTTAGTGCAACTTGTTCTTATTTACAAACGATCAACGGAATTTGAATTTTAGAATAATGAAAATGATAAGAAAATAACGAGTTTTGAACTTTATGATGTATTTTGATGATATATAACAAAGTCGAAAGCTTTATTCAATATATATCAAAAAAGTTCGAACTTTTATTCGATATAAATCAAAAGTTTCAATCTTTTATTTGATATACATCAATAACAATAACAATAACAATTATTCATATCATCATCAGAATGGAAAAAAGGGGGAGATAGGATATAGACTCTCTCTACCCAAGGGTAGGAAGACTGCTTCCATTGATGACTTCTAGCATAAAAGAAAAAAGACAAATCCATTGGAAAATCTCATGCACATGAAACATCAGCCCACAAGGAACAATGAATAGTGATGTGTGACTAAAAAAAAGCACACAAACTATGAAAGCACATACTAGCAATGAAACAGATAGTAAACTATGAAAGCACATACTAGCAATGAAACAGTAGTAAAGTTTACAGTTTTATTCTATATAATAATATACAACAAAAAGTTCAAAACTTTATTGGATACACATAATAAACATAAAAACTTTATTCGATATACATCACAACAAACATAAAAGTTGTATTCAATATACATCACAAAGTTCAATGTTTTATTCGATATGCATCATAAAGTTCAAAACTTCATTGAAACATACAAAGTTCAAAGTTTTTCTGATATCTTTTTTGTATGTATCTAATGCAATTTGTTTATCGATACAAAAACTATCAACGAAATACTTTTTGTATATAATTAGTGCAATTTGTTTATCGATGACATTTGATTTTCAAAATATTGTAAATTAAAGAAATTAGTTTTTGCTTAATAAAATTTTGATTTAAGAGGATAACGAGGTATTATTTTATGATCTTGTTTGCATCCATGTAGCACAAACAAAGAAACTATCTTGAAAATCTTGTCCAATCATCTTGCTTTATAAAACGTTGGCAAATGTGGATTTAGGGACAATAAACCTCCGTTTAAGTTCATTGGTTTAAAGGGATACATTTCCTTTTCAAAGTAGAAAAAAGAAAGTCTTAGACAAGATACAAAGACACAAAAAAGCAAAATAGAGGCATAGATATTGGAGCCCATACATTATTTTCCACTTTCTACCACATACTATACAATCTTGCATCCTAAAAAAGACAAAAAAAAAAAAGTACACTGAAAATCTAGAACACTGAACACCAACACATATATTGTCCTACTATGATGGGTCCCACAAAATGAAGATGAGAAATAGATATATAATAACCTGCTGAATCATCAATGAACCATCTCATCTAACTTCTGTCTGTATCGAGCCAAATTCTACAATAAAGACCCAAACCCATGTTAAATAAATGCCCAAAATATTAATTGATTTAGCAACTTAAATGTTTTCTGAAGTAAATAATCAATTATTCTTTTTTTGAACGTTTAAAAAAATCATTTTTTTGTATTACTTGGTTCGGTATCAAGGAAAAATACATAAAAACACATCTTACTTATATCATTTTATCGATTCAGCCACTAAATTATTATTTTTTATCGATTTAGCCACTAAATTATTAAATAGCTAAAGTGTCTATTTTTCCCATTTTAACACCATTCTTTTTGCATTTTCAACACATGTTCTACCTTTTTGAGTTAATTATCAAATGCTTTTTTCGCATAACAATTTTTATTGAAAAAATAATAATTATTGAAATAAATTGTTTGACATTTAAAGTTAAAGTAATATAATTCACCTTGGTATAAGCATAAACGCTTGCTTCACTTGGTGCAGCTGGACTTCCTCTTCTAATATATTTTTCCTCTTTAACAATATAAAGCATTGGTATACCCGTAGAAAGTTCCAAACTTATAACCTGAAACAATATGCAACTATTATTTAATTATTCAATCTTTTTATAGATCAAGAAACCAGATATTAAACTTAATAACAAGAATGACGCAAAACCATGTAAAAAAAAATCAAAAACTCACCTCTTGAGAAGTTAATTTGTCAAGATACATTATGATGGATCTCAAAGAATTCCCATGTGCAGCAATCATTACATTCTTTCCACCTTGTAGTTGTGGTTCAATCTGAAAAATTCCCCATTTAGAATTAATTTTTTTACAATATTATGTGTGTATGATTATCGATCAATGACTAATTTATAAAAATGTTGAACTTTTATGGTTTGATTGGAAAAGATTGGAGTATTAGTGGTTAAACCACAAAACTTGTAAAAGTATGATGTTTTGTTTTTGTAACTTGTTACAATAAAAGATTTTATTTTAAAGAATACAAAGTACGAAATAAAATTATATAATCTTTTTACGTGTTCTTTGAAGTATGCAACGGCTCTTTCTGCACACATTTCTAAACTTTCACCATTTGGTGGAGGGATGTCAAAACTTCTTCTCCATTCATGAACTTGTTCTTTTCCATATTTATCAGCAGTTTCTTGCTTATTTAGTCCTTGTAATTCCCCATACCTAAACACCAAGAAAATAAAAAGCCGCTTAAAAAATTTAAAATTTTGAAATCCGGGTATTCTTGCAACATAACACATGTGAATTATTAAAAAAAAAAAGTAAAATAATTCTTACATTCGTTCGTTAAGTTGCCAAGCGGTAACAACCGGGATACATTGCTTTTTGGTTTCTTCACTAAAAATTTGACTCCAAGATTTTGCTTGTTCGCTTTCGTTATGCAAGACAATAGGTACCTACAAAGCGGTCAAGAAAGTAGATCTTTTATTAAATCAAATGACACAGACAGTTACAGACACTTACAGTGACAGTGACAACGACAATGACAGTATCAGTGACAACGACAACGACAGTATCAGTGACAACGACAACGACAATGACAACGACGACATCGACAACGACAGCGACAATGACAACGACATCAATAGTAGATCTTTTATAAAATCAGATGACAGTGACAGACTGACAGTGATAGTGACAGCCTGACAGTGGATACCTTCTTGCGGCGATGTTGAGTCATGGCAAGCATGGCAGTCATTTGTGCACGAATAAGTGCGGATGTATAAATCATGTCGACGGGTATATTGCTTATTCTTTTACCGGCTTCAACCGCTTCTTCCACTCCTTTTTTTGTCAATGGCACATCAACACAACCCGTGAATAAATTCTTTTCGTTCCATAGAGACTCACCATGTCTAATCAATATCAATGCCGCTTCACCTAAAAAAATCTTTCATCCTTAAATTAATTGTTTTTTTGGTATTTTCACAAAAGAAAAATATATATAATCTTTTTGCAACGATAAGTGTTGTCGAATGAAGGATGTTTTGTGGGTAAATAATGTTTAAAAATATCTAGAAAATGATGCAAACTTTGGGAAAATGGAAGGATAAAATTAAAAAAAGCAAATTTGCAAAAAAAAAACTTTAGGACTTTATAGGGAAAGTCTACTTTCCCTCATTTTTTTTTGTTAAGTCTTACTTCATGTATTAACTTAAGTAAGCAAGAAACACTCATATACAGCTTATAGATTAAGGGCATGTTTCTTTTCTATGTATTAGTGTTGTATGGTTAAATGATGTTTGTATGAACAAAGATTGTTTCTTTTTTTGAACCGAATAAACCCTCTGAATGAAAGTAAATTACCATTTTACCCCTCTGTCAAAAGTTAATTATATTTTCCCAACATATTCAACAAATTAAGTCTAGGAAGTGATGTATGAACAAAAAATGTTTCTTTTTTGAACTGAATGAAAGTAAATGACCGTTTTACCCCTCTGTCAAAGTAAATCAAATTTTCTCAACATATTCAACAGATTATAAGTCTTTTAAGTCAATAAGAAACATAAGTAGAAGGAAATACCGTACTTGATTTCTTAGGGGTGTCCACTTTGTTGTTTAATGGGGACGAAACTTGGTCTAATACTGTAGTTTGAGAAGAAGAAGAAGATGCTTGAATTACATAAAAGCCCCTCTTTCTAGAGCAGTAACGATCTTTTCCAGATACTTCAAGATTGATCTTAAAACCTTTTGAGGTCAAACGAAGAGAACTATTTCCATATTCTAGATCAAGAGCGAAATTACTCTTATGCCCATGAGACTTGATAGTACTAATACATCCGTTAAATGCTGTTGCAGCCATTCTGAAAATTAAATAAGAACACGTATAAATTTCAAGTGGTAAGTTATCAAGTTTAGTTATTCAAATTAAAAATGTAAATGATATCATGATTAAGCTTATATATGCAAAATTTATAACAGCTTATTTGCATTTCATTCTTAAGGGAGCAATGAGTGAAAGAAAATAAAGTGGACTAAATAATCAAAATCACTTTTTGCACAAAGGTTGTGACTTCATTAGTCGGTTTTAACTTATATCATTGCTTCCAGAAATGTTCGAGACTTGTACAGATATGAATCAAGAAATGACCTGTTTGACACCAGATTTTGAAAACCGTAATTCTGATTCCAATTTTTTTTGGAAATTAAGTCAAAGTGATCACAATAAATAGAATTTGAACACTGTCGCTCTAAAAATCGCAATAATATACATATGAACAATTGAAATTGATAAATGTCGAGTTGGAGATGTAAAGTCAACATGCGAACAACAGAGTAATTGAAATACGAAGTCTATATTCAGATCTAATTACAAGTTCGCATAGACAAATGTGCATGCATTAATGTAATCATCAAAACCAAATTCTAGCAAATGGGTATCACACAAACTGAACTACTGAAGTCAAATTAAACTCAAACGATTCAAATCGTATACCAAATAAAGCAGAAAAGGGGCAGAGAAATCAAATAACCGCTTTAAAACGCCGGTATTTTAAAAAGAGAGATCTTACATTATTTATACCCCGAAGCGATGGATTCTTTAGTGGAAATGACGATAAAACCTAGGCAGATCAAAGGGTTTATTACAAGGAAAAAGTGAAGGTTGACGGAGATGAAGATGCAATGGGAGGCCAGTTAAGCACGCAATTTTACATGTCGTTGATTCAGAGTGCGAATTTCTGGTTTGTGTGTGCTTCTGTGATTGATTGTTTTGTTTGCATAGATAAAATCGAGGGGTTGATTGGGTGTTCTAAAGGGATTCAGAAGTCTTCGGCTTCGCAGATGAAAATGGAAGAAGACGAAAAATGAAATCTTGAAAGTTGAGACGCCCCTTTTTATGCTTGCTTAGTTTTTGTACCTTCCACGTTTTCAAAAGGCAACATACATCATACATGTGTTGTGTTATATAATAAGTTTTTGACAAAATTACAACATGTGTTGTGTTATATAATAAGTTTTTGACAAAATTACACAAATGGTCGACATAGGTAGAAAATACAATTTCAAATCTTTTTGAGGAATTTGTAATATTGCTGGTCATTTTCAGGTTTAAAACGCATGTGGTGAGTCCTTTTGATCGGTAGAAAAAGACTCATCATGTGCGTTAGAAAGCTAAAAATGACTAATTATCTTAAAAATTCCTTAAAAAGACTTGTAGTGTTATTTTTTGTCAATCATATGACAATTTGCTTAATTTTGTCTAAGTTTTTTAAAGACAAAATTTGCAAAATTAGTACCTGTGGTCTCTCTCTCTCTCTTCTTTTTCTTCTTCTTCTTCTTCTTCTTCTTCTTCACCTGCAAATCAAAAAGAAAAAAAATCCTCGATTTTTTGCTACAGATTACACGCACAAAGAGACCCCCAAAAAACATGGTTCTTTAATTGTGACATCCCCAAATTCACGGTTATTTTAAAAACTTTATTTATGCTTATTTGAAAATCAGAGTATTCATTTTAAAGAATAATATTGCAGAATTTGTTCCCAGAAAATATGATAAATATATTATCAAATCATTTCCGAAGAAATGTAATTTGTTTATATTAAAACTTTGGGGTGTCATCGTCAATACATAAACATAAGCATAAACAGACCTTACATTCATTTACACTAGTGATTTACATCTCCTTTAATCTCTCAGTGTAATGTAGCTTCGTATCGACACATGTGATACAAATAAACTGAGTGGGTCAGATTGGAAAACCTGGTGAGTACATAGGGTTTTCAACCCACAATAATATAGTTAATTTGTTTCATCATTAAACAATTATCCCAATTACCCATCCCCATTATCTTCTTTATTTCTTAAGGATCTACCCTAAAAATCATCTATCATTCACTCATTCATTCCTAAGGACTGTCCTAAGTAATAGGAATGAAGTCCATCGTTGTCGAGGTTTGTATAACAGGCGCTAAGTCCATCGTTGCCGATGTTATTTGTTAGGCACTAAGTCCATAGCTTCCAAGGGTTATCTCTTTTATTGACAATATTATTTTAGGGAGTCCACCCACAATACATGTCAATGAGTTTTTAGAGTACATCTGATGAACATATCGTTCACAACACCTACAGGTTGCGAGCCTGCTAGTGTTTCACTGGACTGTCGAGAATAGTCTGTGGTTGTCATCTATACTCTGCTAGATGACTGGGCCATCGCTTGGGTCATTGCTTGGGTCATCGCTTCTCATCATCTTTCACCTCTCACCATCTATATCATCTTTCATCTCTCATCATTCATCTCATCTTTCATCTATCATCTCCTCTCATATTTAATCTACCCATCTTTACCCATCATAATTATAGGTATAAAATATGTATACAGTTTAAATCGAATAAAACATGTATATTTTGTTCATCCAGCATAGATATCAAGAACACAGGTAATATGCACACATAGCACGTAATTTATATTAAATACTTCATGTCTATGTGTAAGATGAAAGTAACTATGCACTCACTTGTTAAAGTGATGATTCGGGCAGCGCTTTGCTTCTAACAATTCTATTTTCCTTCGGCGAAACCTAGAATCATTACCGATAGATTTTAGTCTAACATTTATAGCGACTATTTACGAGCGATATTGTTTTATAAGTGTTAAACAATACTTTTCAACCATTATGTACAGACAGGGTCAGACATGAAATACTAGAGGGAAGGACCATTTTGGCATTATAGCACTTCTGAAATCCAACAACCTTATGCGGCCCGTCAAACCAGATTCCCTGTACCGCGAGTAGTTAAAAGATATTATAATAACACTTTGTATATTATATTTTATAATATATTTATTGTTTATAAGTTCATAATAATGATAATAAACTTAAACATAAGCTATACTTAAAGTAGGATAAACATAACTTACCTATAAGAGGGTTTGGCTAGGAACCGGGCTCTGCGGGGGCTGAACTTCCGAGCCGAAAGCTCTTCTTCTCGGAGCCTTCTGGCGCTCCGGGACTCGCCTCTTAGCACTTGGGAAGTACTATGGGTTGGGAGGGGTTTAGATAGAAGTTAGAGAGAGAGAGAGAGAGAGAGAGAGAAAGGCTAAGGTGTGAAGAAAATGAGTGAACCCAACATGCTATTTATAGGAGGTTGATCCTCGGTTACGATGGGCGTTCCTCGGAGGTACGTTGCGTGTTCCTAGTATGCTGCACGTTCGAGGGCTACACTGCGTGTACGAGGGGGCAGGTGTCGCCTCCGGATGCGAGACCGTGGAGAAGAAGCAAGGGTCCAGATTTTGCCACGTCACCCTCTTCGCAGCAGTTCACTCCCGACTTCTAAATTCCGTAACTTTCACATACGAGCTCCGTTTTCGACATTCTTTATATCCACACGTAGGTGGTGACGTACTCTACAACTTTCGTTTAGACTCCATCGGCTAATTTTGAATTTATTTTTAAAGTTATATTTTAACAGGTCTGGACAGGTAAAGTCCGTTAAAAATTCATAACTTTGTCATCCGACGTCCGTTTTTGTCTGTCTTTATATCGTTGAGTTCTTATTAACGAGATCTTCAATTCTCCTTTAGATTGTTGGCTAAAAATCGGTCGATCTAAAATTCGAATTCCGGGTTGTGCACTGTTATGCTAAATCTTAGAAAAATCATAACTTCCTCATACGAAGTAAGATTTGGGCGTTCTTTTTATGCACGTTCTCGGTTTAACGTATAATACGACTTTCGTTTAGATCGCTAAGGATAAAAAGTACTTTATCACAAACTCACTTTTTACGTCACATAGCGTCGTGCCGGTTTTGTCACGAACCTTCGACATGTCATAACTTCTTCGTTATAACTCGGATTTCAGCGTTCTTTATATGTAAAAAACCCTTGTGACATATACTATAACTTGGTTAAAATTATTTATTCTAAATAATATTCTATCAAAAAGTCATTTTTGACGCTTATTGTCTCTAAATTGACTAGCCCGAATCTGCGGGCATTACATCAATTTCTTTTGCCCACCTTCAAGAACCAACTCCTATTCTTCAGTGATCAAACACAAATACCCCATTTTTGAATCTCTCTCTCTCTCTCACGTGTTTCTCCCAAGCCCTAGATTAGTTTTCCCTCTTCCCTGTTATTGCAATTGAAGGTGGTGGTGCTCCCTTATTTTTAGTTTCAATTCACCGACACGTATTCATCCCTAAATCTCTGCTTATAAATCCACCATAAAAAATCTATATCCTAAAATCCACAACACAAACAATTTCTTCACATCAATGGTAATGTCGACTGCATCTGCATCTTTTCTTCTTTACTTCCCTTCATTTTTCCCAAAATAGAGAGTTGAGCGGGGGCTTCGTCTCTGGTGAGATTTTCGGACGAATACAGGAGGAAGAGGATACAGGTCGATGCTGAATATGGAGGAAATATGGAGGACATGTAGTTGGCGGTCATTGTACCTCTCGATTTGGAAGAGCTGAGAAATCAAACCCAAACAATACCCTGTCTCATTTATTTGGTGTATACAGATCTATAACCCTCTATCTTCATGTACCATTAATCAGGAACACATAAATTCTTCATCATCCAGATAACCAATGTCGTCCGAGAAGCCTATTGTGAACCACCTTCATCTACCACCGAAGACAACTTCCCTCGTCTTCGTCTCTCATCCAGTCAAATCAATTATGACTTCCGATCGATTTATCTATTTTCTAAAATGAACTAGAAACAATTGACTTTCAAACTATTTGGAAACAATCGATGTTCTCAAAATCAAAATGATAAACTTTGGGTGTGTCTCTGTTTATTTGGATTTAGGTGAAATGGAGGTTTGGTTCTTGTGATACATATAATACTCTGTATATATGTGTGTGTGTGAGAGGGTGAGGAAGAAGAAGATGAGAGAGAGAGGGGGTGGGGGAAATGAGGGGTGGAGTTATGGGGTGAGCCTTTTTTTTTTAATATTTACAAAATAGAAAATGTAAAAAAAAATACAAAAAAGAAATTTAAAGGGCAAAACAGTCAGTTCAAGTTCTCCATGGACCAAAACTACAAAAGTTTCTTTTTAGGACCAAAACCAAAGGAAAACCTTGATTTTGGACCATCCATGCAAGTTGGAAACTTTTTGGACCATATCCAAAGTTTTTTGAATATCACAGGGACTAATTTTGCAGTTTTGTCTTTTTATTTTTTAAAAATAAAACAATTTTTATTTTAAATTAATAATATTATAGTTATCTAAAAAATACAACACATTGGTTTTTGAATTGTTTCAATAAAATGCATTGTGTCTAATTAAAATATCGTTGGCTTAATGAAGTGTTGAAGGAAAATAGGAGATACGAACATGACGAGATATTTATAGATACTAAATTAGGATTTCAAGTAATTGCCTAATCATATAATATACGAATAGGGATACGAGTGAGAGAGAGAGAACTCGACAAATGGTATGAGAAGAAGACCATGTCTTCTTGTTTCATGATTTAAATTTTATGATAAGACCCCGATTCTTGTTATGTTTGTTTTCTAAAAATGAACGTTGGTTGCAACTAATAGTTGAGATCTTAATTTAGAGTACATTTATGTGTGATGATGCTCCTATGATATTGATTCGGTTCCATGATCATCCATGCAGAAAAAAACCATGAGAAATATATTTTTACGTAAAAATGAACAAAACGCTAATTTATGAACGCAAAAGGGCGAGTCATAATATACACCACAAATGATAATATCATAGGATCAACCAGGCAAAACCCAAAGTTAGATCGATCGACTTTTAAACTTAAGTTGAACAAGTTTGATGAGTTGACCAATCGACTTAGTAACATTAGAAGAGTTTGCATGTGTTGGACTCAATTATGTTTAAC